CGTTTCTGAACGTTTGTTGAAAAAATATTTTTCAAAAACTGTTCCTCGAGAGACTGCCCGTCCCTTGTTCATTGTCTATAGGACTTTTGAAGAGTAATTCAGTGAGAGCTTTTTCGATGATCATCGATTGGTAGATGATTTTTCGGCACAGTTGTTAAATTTGCGGGTGATCGGCGCGACTTGAGGGATGGTCATCAACAACGGGTTATCCTTTGGGTGATTAAAATTAACCTGCAGCTGTAAATATGAACAGAATGACGTATGAACCAGTGCATTTTTTATTCCAGTCAAGCGTTCAAACCAGTGCGTTTTGCCTCTGCAAGCGTATTCCTGGAAATAGTTTTTTTTTTTTTTTGAATTTTTTTAATAGCGGTAATGTGCTTTGGCTTTATACAGTTGAATTCAGTGATAATGTGCATCATCGGCTTCTGTGATTTGTTCTCTGTTTGTTTTGTTTGCGAGAGCGATAAGGTTGTAAAGAGAATTCCACTTCTGCGCTGCTATCAATAACGGTATTACGTAGATGATATTATGGTTTTTGATGATATCACATAGTGTAATTTCATTTTTCACGCTGCTCTTGTGATATCCTTGGCGTAGGCATGTCCGTTTGCTATTGCCATTACAACCACAAGCACTAGTTTTTCATCGTAACCAAAATTTGGGATTTTAGAGCCAGCGGTCCAATTAATGCGGTGGAGAGCCTTAAGCTGGTGGTCAAGAATAGCCAACGGATGCTATGGATACATTTTTCGGCCACTGTTTTGGTATTGCTTGTAAATTAGTCAATTTTCTCACTGATATGTGATAAGAAAAACGCTTTCATTTCATCCAGATATTGAGTCTTGTATTTTGTAATCTCAATTTTTCTTTTTTTCTTTCTCAAATCTCATGATTTTTTGCTTTTTCCTTTAGCACTTCTCGAGGTATCCACGCGCTAGCATGTTTTTTTTTTTCTTCGCAGTTTGTGAATTTGTTAGTACTAAGAGTTGAGGGTACTCTGAGGGAAATGAGAGAAGAAATTCTGTGAAATTTTTTAAAAGTTTTGGTTAGTATTTAGCAAAAGTTATCGGCTTACTTGTAAACAGTCTTCGGGAGAAAGAGGGAGCCATCGGCAGCTTTGTCAACGGTTCTTGTCACCCAGGAAATGCATGTGTGCCAGGCTAGGAACGGGAGGCGTTGGATTTTGGTTTGGAAAGGATTTGGGGAGCTGATGGATTTCTGTGCGCCCGTATTTCGCGCCTTTACGCTTCCCGAAGGGGTGTTATGCGTGCGCGATCGCTTCTTCCTCACTGTTGCTTTTGCGGTCAGCTTGACATGTAAATTTACAACAGCCCTGTGTTTGTTCACTTTCGAATCGTTCGCTGTGTAATTATATCGGGAAGTATTCGTTTGCTACGAATAAACTTGTTACAACACAGTGATGTTGTCTTGTTGGACACCACTTCTACATGCTGATATAATGAGTACACTGTTCTCTCGTACTTCTCCCTCACCTTCTCCGGCTCGCCCGGAGGGTCACCCGTCCTGATCTAGAGGAGAGGGGAGGGGTAAGCTACCTCAGATGCTTGGCCACTTTCCACTGTCCTCGATTTTATATCCAAAGAACAATTTTAATTTAAATTTCAGTTGGAATGTGTTTATGTAAGATGTGAGGGAAATAAAAAAGGAAGTGTGAATAAGCTAAGACTAAAATCTGAATGGGAGTGTTCCGGTCCATCAAGTCGCATACATCCCTATTCAGTGCTGCAACTAGACCTCATCAATGTGACGGTTGCAGCGGAATTTTGCTGAGCGATAGCTTAAGGAAACAATAGTGGTGGATACCTGGGTGCTGCACCGAGATGAGGGAAATGGCCTGTTTACTCCTCACTTCTCAATCATTTTCACTTTCACCCCCGCCTTAGCTGTCCTGCGTGGCCCTGGGAAGGAAACATAGGCAGATCCAGGACAGACCCTAGGAGTGGGGGAGAGGTGGAGGGAGAGGAGAGGGAGAGGGGGATGGGGCGGTGGAAGTATTTTCCGATAATCCGAAGCTTTTACAAATTCTAAAACTGTTAACAGTGCTTTTCGTATAACCGGATTTAGACTGCTGCAGCAATGGGGAACTTGGGTGGGCCCCGAAGTAATGGACAGGTCCAGCCTTCTGCAACACTGGTGCTTGTATTGCTGGGGAAGGGGGGGGGGGAGGCTTCCCTCGTCCACCCCCTGCATTCCTCTCTGGAAAGAAAGCTTCAGCAAAATCATCCATTTAAGGAGTACGGAGTCTGCAGATGCGGAGCCTAGCCCCTTTACTAATTGCCAAGATTTATTAAGGTTTTTTTTAATGCTCAGCATAAAACTTGGTGCCAAGGGGAAGTGAGCCGCCCAATATGCACTGGTTTTTTGGGCTCGGGTAGCGACAGTCGTAGCCGTCGGGGTTTTTTATGCGTTTTTGCCGTGCAGCGCTACAGCGCTGCAACAGGCAGCAAAAACGCATATTGCAAC